TATATATATAGGAACAGTACTGAGAATCAGCTGAGCACCCTACCATCATGCTCTGGGAGGAGCTACTTTAGCTGGAACATGCTAGGCTCCCCTCACCTTGACCCCTCATGCATGTATGCCCAGAGGAGCGCTGAGACCCTGTGCCCCCCTCTACCCTATGCCTCCCTCTACCCTATGCCAGCCTCCACTTGAGCTGTAGCCCTTTACTCTGGACTCCCAGGTACCCACTGGAATCCTGCTACAGGCCATCAGTAATAACAGCAAGTTGGAGCATCCCTGCAGGCTGAAAATAATTAGCCAACCCTCATATGGAAGGCCCTTCATTCTTCTACATCTTTGATTTCAGAATTCCCTTCAGGCCCTTAGATCTGTCAAGCCCTTTCTCCCTACAGTCCTCTTGAAGATACTGCACCAACACAAACTTGTATAATAAAAGGGCAAGATTAGATAAGCCACTAGGTCCCTTCTCTCCCTGACAAAAGATCTGGTTGCAAGTGGAAACTATGCTGGGGGTTGGGGAGTAAGGCAAGCACATGACCCAGGGCCCAGGACAGCAGTCAGAGCTGCAGAGCCCTGTTGATCTACAGGCTGAGCCCACAGTTACCCAAGGAGCCCACCGATGCACAGCCGGAGTCCGGGAGGCCAGGCCCCCAAAACTGGCAGAGATAGTATTGATTTCAATCTGTTTCAGGGCTGGGGAGCCATCAGAACTTCGCTGGAACATGTAGTCTGATCGGTTCAGACCCAGGAACACAGTCTGTGGGAAGAATGAAGGATGAGGACATCTGCCCTGAGGCTGACTCTAAGTCTAGCCACAGAGTAGGCAGGTAATATGAACACGATGTAGAAATAAGCGACACTAGCTAATGTTCCCAATCCCAGTAGGCTCATTCCAATCATCCCAGGATTGGTTATTGAGATGTGTGGAACGGGAGAGACCACGGAGAGGTACATTTCCATGAGACCAAAGCCTGAGCCATATACTTCTGATAAAAACAAAACAAAACACCAGATATGAAACAGGCAGGTGTCAGGCTGGGGAGGGGTCAAGAACAGTTACCTGAGCAATGCCCTCTTTTAGGACTTGCTTGTAGATGTCAAAGAGACGGGCAGTAAAGTCATCCCTTTTGATAGTGCTGGAGGGGGAAACACAGAACATTTTCCAGGCTACAATGGGACCTTAAAGGTCAAGGAGTCCCACCTTATCAGCTGACTTCTAAATCCTCTCTAGGTCTAGTGGTTAAATATTCATTCCAATCTAATGGTTAAGAATGGTTAAGAATCCAGATTTATGACCTTCTCAGACCAAAAAGCTACAACTCTTGTTGCACAGGTCCTGCTTTACCTTGGTCTTAACCATCCAGCAGAAAAGTATGAAGTCGAAATGTAAGAAATAAAGCCATGCTGTTAAGTTGAGCTGTGGGGGACTCAGGCCAATAATTTCTGACATTGCCAGGTAAACAGAAGACCCAATGCTATTATGGGCTACTGGACTCTTTTAGAATATTGTGCTGAGTTTACACACCTATAATATTCAAATAATGGAACTTAACAAAAAAAGGGTGTACAGATGAATGTCCATTTTGCATCTGTGTATTCAAAGAGGTTGGGATAGATATATAGTTGCATTCTCTTAATGAATAGAATGATTTGTTCTAATGGTGTTTGTAAATAGGATCACAAGTCCGCATCTTGTACAGCAATTAACCACTAAGAAGAATATATGCAGTGTATTATTTGTTGAAACTGTACTTCTGATTTGATTTGAAACTGTCTCATTGCTGTTTATCAATAAAACTTTGAAAAAAAAAATAATCCAGATTTAGAGCCCGGTGACCTGGATTCCAATCCCAGCTCTATTACCCACTTTTAGGCAACCTCAAAAAAATCATTTCAGCTCTCTCTTATATTAGTTTGTTCAACTGTGAATGAAGGGAAAAATAATTATATCACAGATTTGTGGTAAAGAGTAAATGAGACATTCCAGGTGAAGAATTGAATATGTTCCTCTGGTCCCATGAAGAACCCCAGAATGCCACATGATATAACTTTTCAATACTACAGAGTTCTGAGATTATACACATGCATCATGCTTATATTGAGGACCTCTCTTTTATAGCACTAATTACAGTTGCAACTTCTCTTTTTATTTGTACACTGTTAGTGTCATTTCTAATGTTTGTCCATAAACTGCATGGAATGTGGGTCTGGGGGGGCTCATGATCACAGCCCCATGTGCTGCTGTGACATGTGACATGGAGCTGGGGTCCATCCAGTATGGTTTCCTGGAGCATCAGGAAAGACACAGTGAGGAGGAATCCATGAGTCCTTAACACCATAGTTTTTGTTTCGAAAGATTCTGGGTGGACTCTGCACCCTGCCCAAGCCTGGTTTGTGGTCTCACTGTTACAGGGATCCTGCAGTGGAGCCTATTTCCCAGTCCTAGGTGAGGACCTAGTGAGTTCAAGGCCAGCATAAATTATACAATAAGACCCTGTCTTGAAACAGAATGAAAGAGAGAGAGAGAGAGAGAGAGAGAGAGAGAATGAATGAGAATATGCATGTAGGGGAAGATATAGGTAATCTGACTAGAAACCTAATCCTTCCTTCCCTCTGCTTTCCTCTAAAACTAGGCTTTACCTTCCCTAATTTCAAATGGAAATTTCAGTCCTCAAAGCAGGGCTGTGAGGTGAGGAGGGTGGGGGAGTGTCACAGTTCACAGAATCACAGAATGTCAATGTTGGGAGGAACCTTACACTTGAGCCACCCTCCCATTATTTTCCATATAAACAGATAGCCGATCCAGAATCAGGATTTCGCTTTCCTGACTCATATTTTACTGCTTCTTGTTTCTCCTGTGGGGTAGCTGAACTGCACCCTACCGAGTCAGCAGACACAGAAACACCTCATGTCTCCCCAGTCTTCCAGCCCCTTGCTTCTGGCAGCTCCTGACCCCCTAGGCCTCCCCACCTGGTACCTGGACAGAGTTTGCTCCAGGAAGGCAGCATTCTGGCTGACAGCATCCACTAGCACATTGAAGTCCATCTGCACAGCATAGGCTTGCTCCAGCAGGGCCTGGGGGACCCTTGAGGGGAGGAGCGTGAAAGGGGCATAGCTCACCACCTGGTCAATGAGAGAGCGGGGCAAGGGCAGAGCATCTGTGAATGGTGCATCTATCAACAACAACAAAAATGTACATAGATGCAACATATAATCTTATGCTGAAGGTAACTTTATTATTCACTTCAAAATAAAAGGACCTGAGGCAGGAGGTTAAGGAATAGGTCCAATATAGTCACATGGTAAGTGGTGCTAGGATTTGGGGCAGGATGGTTACTTCGCACACAAAAGCTCCAGCTGGTTGGTATTTGAAGCAGGGTTCCTCCTAGGAGCTCACACACCTTAACCTGAGTCTTTTAGATAGGACAGAGGGATAGCCCTGCTGGTAGGGCTGCAGCAGAGGTGAACTCTGACTCCCTGAACAGAAGCCAGGACTAGTTAATGGACCCGGAGTTCATTAACTGGATTCCTTGAACTTTTTTTTTTCTTTTAGTATTGGGGATTGAGTCCAGGCCTTCACATTGAGCTATATTCCAGCCCCCCCATCCCACTTTTTTTTTTTTTTTTTTTTTGAGACAGGGTCTTGCTAAGTCAGTAAGTTGCCCAAGCAGGGCTTGAACTTGGGCTTGAACCTGTGATCCCCCTGCATCAGCAGTCTACCAGAGTGCTGGGATTACAGGCATGCACCACTACATCATTCTTTGGATTTTGGTCTTTGGACTCTGACTCAAGTACCATCTAGGTAGGGCACTGTTTCTAGAAGGAAAAAATATATTCTGAGATTCCCAACAACAAATGAATTAGAACTTGGGCAGAGATGATAAGAAGTGCTGTGACTGACTTACAAAGAATTCCTGAGTTTAATCTTTGTGTGAAAATCAGTGTGCCCTTATAGTGGTACATGTTTATGGTGTTAAAATTTGTCATTTATAAACCAAATATGGTGGCACATGTCTGTAATCCCAGACTAGGAAACTGAGGCAAGAGGATCACTGTCAGTTCAAGGCCAGCCTGGGTTACATAGTGAATTCAAGGCCAGCCTGAACTACATAGTGGGACCATGTCTCAAAACACAAACAAATAAACAAAAACAGCAGAGTGCTTGGAAGAGTCTCTGACACACAGTAAATAATAACTGCAGCTAAAATCATGCAGCACTGTAGGCTGATCCACCTCTGTACTCAGTGCATAGAGGGGGACCACAGAAAGATTTAAAATGAAATCATGCTTCCTATCTTTCCCTGCATTAGAAATCTCTAAGGATTGTGCTTTTTCTAGGGTCTATAAATTCCCAGAAAGACCAAATGTTGGAGCTTTATATAATATCTACCTATTTATTAACAGGAGAAACAAAAGCTTGAAAGAGAAAATAATTCATCTTGGATTCAGAAAAACAATTTGCAAGATCTAAGTTCACAACCCAGGAATTCTATTCCCAAAGCTAGAGGCAGACTTTCCACAGAATCAGCTGGCTTCAGGTTCATGGACTTCAGCAAATATTCGTTGTGCGGACTCCCCACAGCCTGGCTCTGTGGGAACCAATAATACGAACGCTCTTAAGGTACATGGTATTTTTTTTTAAAGCAATTGCAGAAGAACTTGTCTAGTATGTTTCTTTGTGTACAAAGTGGAAAAGGAAACAGCTATTTACTTACAAACAGAATCTTGCCTGAAAGAATTAAGAATGCTAAAATACAAGCTGTCTCCAGGACGGGAGAATTTGGTACCAAGGAAATGTGGAAAGGAGGGTTAAAATGTAAACTCTTATAACTTTGTAATTTTGAACCATGAATTATTGTTTAACCTAGTCAAAAAATTTAAAGTTTTTGTTTTCTTTTAAATGATGAGGGTTTTTCCTCCTCCTCCTCTTCTTTTTTTTTTTTTTTTTTTTTTTTTAGTTTTTGAGATGAAGTCTTACTGTGTTGGCCAGGTTGATCCTGACTTGTGGGCTCAAGTGATCCTTCTGCCTCAGCCTCCTGAGTATGGGGACTTCAGATACAAACCACTGCAGTTGGCTAATGGATGGAACTTTTTCCTTTTTTGTAAAGATATGGCTTGGACTTAGCAGTTCTACTTTTACATATCTACCCTAGAAAAACAACATACACCTGTGCTCAAACAGGCAGGCACGTGGATGTTGCCTGTTGTGCTATTTGTAGTCATAAACACACTAGAAGTCACCTCCATAGTTATCAGTAGAGGAAAGTTAAACCATGACCCATCCAAATGTGGACTATTATGTGTCAGAATGAAGCTGACTCTTAACAGAAGGCAGAAGAGTTCAAAGAAAGACTGGTAAGTAGAAAACAAAAATACATCACGAATAGTATGTATGATACAATTTGTTTAAACTAAGAGCTGGCCAAATAGCTCAGCTGATTAAAGTGCCTGCAAGCAGGTGCAGGGGCCAGGTTCAATCCCAGGGCCTGCCGTGCAGGCTCCACCCCTGGGGCAGAGGGTGATTGAGACGGCATGGTGGTACACGCCTGTAATCCCAGCTCATGGGAGACTCAGATCACTATGAATCCAATCTAGTAGTGAGATTCTGAACACCTTGTAGACTCTTCCCTAAAAAAATACAAAAAAAAATTGTTTAAACTACATTTATCTACATACACATATCCATGTAAACACCTGAAGGGATATATCACAAACCAGTAACAGAAGAGAACAGTACAACTGGGGGATTAATGAATAATAGTTCCCTGGACATAGTACTTTAAGTAAATTATTTTCTAATTTTCTTATGTACCCAGTTAGTTAAGTACCTATTATTAACTTTTCACAGATCTGAAGAAAGTGCAGTGAGAGGTTAGTTAGGTGACTTGCCAAAATCACACTTTGAATCCCAGATTTAAATCTGATCACTCCAACATGCTGCTCTTCACACACTTTTAGAGATCTAGTTTAGCCCATAGAATAAAATAAAATAAAGTGAAAGAATCATGCCCAAAACCAACAGGGCTGCCCCCAGCCAGGCAGGGACCACTCAGTGGACAGGGGGATCTGAGCAGTGTGGGCAGTGCCATCGGGGGCAGGACTTACATTGGAGGAGCTGGGTTCCTGTGCGGTCCTTAGCAACACTCCCTCAGCCAGGGCCCGGTCCACGGCCTGCCGAGCCAGCTCCTCCAGCTGATGCTCATCCTGCAAGAGGCTGTCCCAGCTGGTGTCCATGTCAACCTGTGACAGAGAGCTTGGTGACAGATGGCCTAGGGCCCAGCAACCATGAAGCCGGTTGGTGGCCACCCTAGTACTCTGGGACTCTGGCTTGGTCCCATGAAAAGACAGTGTGGTACAGGAGAGTGGACACTGGCTAGTTTCAGTTCTTAACTTCCATGTAAACCAACAGCCTGACAGAGCTTTCCCAAGGTGTAACATTTTAAGGAAGAAGAGGTTCACAGAGGTGACAATGACTCACCCTAAGTATGACTGGAAAAGCCTGGACTTCAACTCAAGTCCTAACCCAGTACTTTTCATTAAGAAAGAGGCTCAGAAACAATGTGAGGGGGCTGGTGAGATGGCTCAGTGGTCTAAAGCACCTACTTAGAACAAGCTTGGCAAAGCACAGGGACCGCGGTTCAATCCCCCAGCACCACATGCCAGCCAGCCCCGCCCCCTGGTGGGCTGAGCTGGCCACACACACACACACACACACACACACACACACATAAATAAAATAAAAATTTAAAAAAAAAAAAAAAAAAAGAAACAATGTGAAACAAGGGAGATGGAGTAGACTGTTGATTTCCTATCATGGCTGAACATTCTGAGTTGCCTGGGGAGAAATACAGATTCCTGGGCCCTGCCTCAGTAATTCTGACTAAAGAGGTCTTACATTTGAAGAGTCTGAGAATCTGATTTTTATTTTATTCTTTTGATACACAGTCTCACTACGCGGTTCGGACTTGTATTAATCCTCCTATGTCAGCCTCCTCACCGCTGAGATTACAGGCATGCACAACCAAGCTTGGTTTCAAGGCAGGTGTAGCACGTAGTACTGGCAACTGAACTCTTGAGTCTGCCAGCCAGGAGCTTAGACCACCGAGCTATCTCCCTGTTATAACCCATGCAACTGATTCCAATTTTGGAACTCTGTATGTTTCCACCACTGTAACTTTATTAACAAGGACTATTTGGTATAAGCTAACAACTTAAACTCCATCTTCTAACAAGCTTTGTAACTTCCATTTTGTAAAACCTTAATTTGTTTTGTAAACCCTCCCACCCACGCCTTCCCTGAAGAATGTGGCTGTTTGTGCAAATAAGAAAGTGTTCCTCAGCATTCCAAGAGAAGATAAAAAACGTTCCTCAACATTCTGCAAAATAAGTTAAACTGTCCTTCCTGCGGGAACAAACAGAATGCCTGAAAATGGGTAAAACTGTCATCAGATGTCCTTCTGACTACCAAGACAAAAACAATGCCTAAGTCAAATAAAACATATTCCTGTAGGGTTTGCAAAATGTGACCTTGTCTATAGAAACAAAGAGTTAACCCTCAGTCATGACTAACTCAAAATAAGCTTCATAAAATCCTCCCTCCCCCTACTCTTGTGGTTTTTCTCTTTAAAAACTGCCTCACCTAGACTAAGCGCACACCTACTTGGAGAAGTGCTGCCGCCGAGCTCAGCTAAATAAAGTACTTTCAAGTTGAGTCCAGTTTTTGGATTTTTGAGTTCCAACATTCCCAGCCTAAAATCTGTATTTTAAGTAATTTTTTTACAGGCTAGGAACAAGTTGAATAGATTATTAACTTCTCACTCCAGCAACTCATGACAACAAGATTTCAACCAAACCACATAGTAGACAGAGAAGGAGCTCTACAAACAAGGGGAACACTCCCCTCTTGCTAGTCAGAAGCAAACTGAGAAGCAGGATGTGATTATATTCTACATATATGGACATCTATCAGGAAGGCAGCAAAAGACAGCAAATACCTTTGAGAAATCACATTAATAGGATAGAAATAACAAAAGCCAAATACTCAATGTAGAAGGATGAGTCTGACTGTTTTCCCAGACACACAGAGATGCATCAACTCACACCTTGATGCTCACTTACTTTACAGCACGCTGCAGTTTTAGGAAGACCTGGATGAAAATCTGGAAATACCAGTCACTAATTTTGTTCTGCCTTTGGTCATTTAATTTTAAGGACAGAACATGGCTATCCAAATCAGTGGTCTGCAGGAAGAGTTAAGTGAGCGAGAAGCCTCCATCACAATCAGCTTTGTCTCCCTCTCCTCCTAACAGAGCTGGATTTAGACCAGTTCTATGAGTCTGCCCATCTCAGCACAATGTTTTAAATGAATGAGCATGTGATCTCAAAAGGATCCTGACAACAAACTTACTGGATTAGAGGCAGATCATAATGGTAAAGAACAAGGCTCTGGCATCAGACAGATCCTGGCTAGAGCCCATATTATTACTTCTTTTATAAGGTCAAAATGTGGATTAAATGAGAAAAACCTGTGACAAGTGTCTCAGCACGTCTGGAGCTTGTATTAGTCCATTTTCTTTTACTATAATGTAATATCTGATGGATAACTTCCTAAAGAAGAGCTTTGTTTAGCTCTGCTTTGGAGGTAAGGACAAGACACTGTGAGGACTTTATGGTCAGATGGCATATAGTGGTGGGAACGTGAGTGAGAGGGAGCCAGAGGTGTCAGGCTCATTCTTATAACTACGGGTCCCACAAGCCCTGTCTTAATCATTCCAACCTTTAGCTCTCTCAACAACCAAAGGATCTCCCACTAGGTCCTACCTCTTAAAAACTGCACTACCTCCCAACACTAATACACTGGAGACCAAGCCCCAAACACATAAACCCTTGAGGGCATACTCACCCCATATCCAAACAACCAAACTATACATGGAAGCTTGGGGCAGGGGGCTATACACCCTTCACAAGTGGAATGAAACTTGTCAGGGGTCACTCAGCATCCTGGAGATAGAGCCACAACTAAACCATAACACTAACATTAGACTAATGGGACCCTGTATTAGTCCTCATCTTTTCGCAAACTGTTTCCAATATCTATATGCTGTTGGGCCTTTGGTGGGCAAAGACTGATTTGCATTTAATACCAGAACCCTGACTAGGTAGTGGGAACACAGAAACAAGACCTAAAACTAATCACTAAGTAAAGGCTAACTGGGCCCTTGACTTTTCTCATTCCATAGACTCAGCCTTTCTTACGGTTTTCTCTTTTGCTGACGACACTCAAATCTATAATTTCACATTGGTATTTTCATGATCCCAAACTAGAATATCCAACTGCTTCCTGGGAATCTCCGCACAAAGAATTTGTTGTCTCCCCCGAAATATACTTCTCCTTGGATGAGCCTCACTCTGGCCTCCTGGGTACTTCTGTCCTACACTCAATTCTCCAATCCTGTAGATTCAGCTGCCCAGAAGAACTACATAGCTCTGAACTCTTTTGTCTGTCTCCAGTTAGCAGTCAAGTCTTCCCCATGCTCATTTCTTGCCTAGGCAATAAGCAGATTGAATAAAGCATCTTCAGTGACCTATATATGCCAGCCTTTCTCCCCCTTTTGGGTCTCTGCAGGGGCTGTTTTCCCCGTGGGACACTCCTGGCCACTCCTGATTGGATTTTGGAAGTTGTCCTGTTCTTCTCCATCCAGAGCTTCTACAACTCCATTACATTTCCCAATATCACTGGGACAGCATTTGCCTTGCTCACTTCTCTACCTATCAGCGCCAAGTGGTATATTCAGTGAAAGTTAAATACATGAATCACCAAAAGCTTAAAACGCTCACAAAGAAATCCTGTTGGACTTTAGCCTTAGGGCGAGGCCAGTGCCTGCCCAGAGTGCGGAGCAAATGCCTAGACTTGCCCACTTGGCTGCCCGATCACTCATCTTAAAAGTTTGGTCCTAATCTATCCCACTATTTTTTTTGTCTGTTTGTTTTTTCCTTCTTTCCTTCGTTTCGTATAACTCTGACTGTAGTCTCACCGGTACGGTGTCCCCTACACTAGCCCGATCTGAAGGCGCGAGATCTGGAAAATCTAGAATCAGCACGCGCCAGCCCAACCCCCTCACTGGACACAAGTTTGTTTCCCTATGCCAGCGATCTGTTTCAGCTACGAGATCTCTCCGTTTCCAGCGTTCCAATTCCTCGCCAGACCCCTCCCTCACGTCTTTCCTCCCGAGGAAACGTGACCCTTGCCAGCCGCCGTTGCTGAGCACCAACCTACTGGTTCGCCGTCCGGTCGCTCACCGCACTCAACGCCCTTGCGCCGTTACCCAGGCTCAGGGGGCGGGGCATCGAGACACTCCAGTGCGCTTGCGTAGACCGCCCTCAGTGGGTTTGAGGAGTAGGGCGGGGGCAGGGAGGGAGAGACAGCGGCCTGTGGAGCTGGACGGCGGCCGGGAAGGGGCAGTCCGTGAGAGAGCCACCTTGGCTTTAGGAGTGCGTCAGCTGCACTTAGGCGTATCCGACCTTTGGAAACACGGGAGGGACCAGGCTGGGTCAGTAGGGTGCCACGGGTGTGCTTAGTTCGTACAGCGTGATAGCTGGCGACGTCTGGTGTAAGATAAGGAAACTTGATGCTCCGATTGGGACAGTCACTTTAGGGACGCAGTTGACAAGGGTAGTAATAGGTCCAGAGATGGTCAGAGGCTGGCACGAGGTTGCATAGCACGTTAGGTGCTGCGCAGACAGTATTGGAACGCAGACTCTTTCGCAGCACTGTCAAGTCCCAGAAAAACCTACCTGGTTTTTCTCACGGAGAAAGCCTTTCAGGCGAAAATGTAAGCATTTTCATTTTTCTAGAAATTTGGAAGCCAGGACTGTTTAATAGTAACCCAGTGTTTCTCATACTCCTCCAGTACCCTTTGTATCGGGATCTGAAACAGTTTTTTTAGGTTCATGATCCTGCCTCCACCTCACTGGTTGGCAGCGCTAGTGCCTTACCAGTTTGAATGTGAAGCACCTGATAAGAACGTTAAATTAAAGTGAAATGTGTCAGTCCAAGCCCTAGGGAATTAGCCACGCCTAAAACACAACACCTGCTTTCAATTCAATTAAGAAAGTAAACAGGGTAATAAATGAAAAAAAGAGATAAGAAAAAAAAGAAAGTAAACCAATTGGGTGGAGTGGCCCGCACCTATAATCCCAGCACTTGAGAGGTTGAGGCAGGAGGATTGCGGCAAGTTAGTGGTCAGCCTGGGCTATATTAAGAGATCCTGTCTTCTTGCCTAAGGAGAGTCACATGAGGAGAAGACACTCTCTCAGGCTTTCACAGAGAGCACATTGGCCAAGCAATGGCCGTGACTCATCCACATGGCTGCACTGACAAAGGTTCTACAATCTGAGGTACAGGATCTCAGGATAAATCCCGAGGGCATTTCACTGACCTTCTCAGACCAAAAAGCTACAACTCTTGTTGCACAGGTCCTGCTTTACCTTGGTCTTAACCATCCAGTAGAAAAGTATAAAGACGAAATATAGGAAGTAAAGCCATGTTGTTATGTTGAACTGTGGGGGACTCAGGTCAATAATTTCTGACACTGCCAGTTAAACAGAAGACCCAATGCTATTATGGGCTACTGGACTCTTTTAGAATATTTTGCTGAGTTTACACACCTATAATATTCAATAACGGAACTTAGAAAAAATGGGGTATACCGATGAATGTCCATTTTGTATCTGTGTATTCAAAGTGGTTGGGATAGATATACAGTTGCATTCTCTTAATGAATAGAATGATTTGTTCTAATGGTGTTTGTAAGTAGGATCACAAGTCTGCATCTTGTACAGCAATTAACCACTAAGAAGAATATATGCAGTGTATTATTTGTTGAAACTGTACTTTCGATTTGATTTGAAACTGTCTCATTGCTATATGTTTATCAATAAAACTTTGAAAAGAAAAAAAAATAAAAAAATAAAAAAGAGATCCTGTCTTCTGTCTTTAAATTAAAAAAAAAAAGTAGACAGTAGATGGTACTTTTCTGAAGGATTTAGGGACGAGTTTGTGGGTCTTAAATGCCTAAGTGGTGAAGGGGATAGGGTTGTAAGTGTGGAGTAGAATGCTCCAAGAGGCAGGACCCAAAACAGCGAAGGCATATAAATCCTTAGTGTTTGGGGTTTGTTTTGGTTTATAGTTGGGGTAGGAAGACCTGGGGTTCAGAGCAGGATATTAGGAGCTCAGTTTTGGAGAGGTAGCCTTGGATGTCAGGTCGAGTTCCGCAGTTATTCAATGGGCAGAGGAGCTGGCAGAGCTCTCAGGAGAGGGAAGGATGTAGTCACTTTTGTGTGTTAGGTGCTAATTAAGTGTGACAAATAGTTTAGAAATGAGGAGAATAGGTTCAGAGAGATCAGAGATAGTGAAGGTGTGAAGTGATTAGGTTGACCTAACCAGGGTCTGTGGAGATGGAGAAAAAGGGACTTCAGATTCTGCTTCAGAAGGGAGAAAGTACTGCGACTGACTTTAAAGCCAGGAACCCAAATCTTTCATGCCTTAGACAGAGCATGCACAGGGCAGCCTGAGCTCTCTAATCCTCTTGTGTGGATGGCAGTAATCTAGCTATTGCCAGAACATGTTTGCAGATGCCTTTTCCTTGTGTTCTGCACCTGGCTGAGATATGAATCAGGAATGTCTAGAATAAGTCACAGGTAGCAGAAAAAGGCCATTGTATTAACCAGGAACAAAGCTGTTTCTAGAGCAGCAAGAAATTAAAAGTCAAAACACACAACCCGGAGTTCTCCAAGGTTCCTCCTTCAAGATGGGTGCCCAGTGACACATATCAGGTGTCTTTTGGAGAGATTTGAGGAGAATGCCAGACCTTAGCACCTCCCTGGGTGATTCCTTTACATTGTGTCAGGTAAGATGGCTTCATTTCCATGCTGGAGGTGGGACAGCTCAGAAGTTATGTGACTTGCTCGTGATGACCCAACTTGTGGTGGGACTGGATCTCTCAGCAAGATTTTGTCTTTCTTCTTCCTTGCCTGGATGATTACTCCTAAATCCTGGCCTGACTGACTCCCTGTCATTCAAAGGTTGCTTCCTTAGGAACCTTCAATCTGTTCTTGCACCTTTGTGAGTTTTCTTAGTACCTGAAATTATTACTTTTATCTGACTGTTGACTCATTCTCCTGGAACAGGGCATCACTTTACTCCCAGAACTCAGAATTGTGTCTACCACTGAGTAGATGCTCAATAATATTTGCTGAATGGCGGAAGCAGGTTGGGGAGGGAAGGATAGACACTGACATTTAGCGAAAGTTTAGGATGTTTCAGGTACTTCGCACAAATCCTCTCATCTGATCCCCTCACAGTCTTTCAAGGTAGATAATGAGTGGATAAAGATTATGCTAAGGAGGTTGTCAGTGTTCGTCACTTTTGAGACTTAGACTCTTTTGAGACTCTCCATCAGACACAAACTTTTACATATATAACGTGGAAGAATTCGCAGGGATACTCAAAGAGATCTCAGATCAAGAAACCCAGAATGAGGGACCTCGTCCAAGGTCTTTGTGGCCACAGGATTTTGCTGGTTTCTCACTCTACAGCAAGGACATATTCCATTTAGTGTTCTGCAGGAAGCCTGCTGAGGATTCTGGAGCAGAGGAAATGAGGCATTGAGCCTTTACTATCTCAGATATGGGTTGAAATCCTGACTCTACAGCCTAGCAGTGAATTATAGGCAAGTCATATCAGCTCTCTAAATCCTATTTGCCTCAATTTCAAAATTGAATATTTTTTGCTAATACTAATTGTTCTTTATCAATTTGATCACTAAGTGCCAGGTATTTGGCTAATGACTGTAGTTATTTCATTGATTTCACCATAACCCTATGAAGTGGTATTGTTATGAACTCAGTAGTATTATGGTCTTCGTTTTACAGCTGAGGAAGTAGAAGCTTGAGGAGATGCCCCCACTTGCCAGAAATTGCACAGCTTGACACTGGTAGTCACTGTGGTCCTCAGATCACCTTAGGATATGTCATAAGCTCAGGCTTCACAAAGCCAACTGTTGAATCCACTGCAGTGTCTATTCCAGGGCTTGGGAGAACATCTGAGTATGAGTAGGTGGGAAGAAAAAACAAACAAGGCTGCACTTCAGTGTGAGTGGAGACTGATCCCTTAATGCTGTGCCTTGCCTTTGCCCCTGGGAGGGCCTCTCTCCATGTCTGTCCTGAGCCTTTATTGGAACATCTCTTCTGGTCCCAGGTTCTGCATCAAACGTGGTCTGCATCTGTATGACTATTCTCTTTTTAGCAATGACATCACTCTGCCTGGCAGCATGTTTTCTAAGGCTATCTCTCCACCTGGCTCTGGGCCACAGCTTTGGCCATTCAGAATGAGATTTCTCAGTCTTCCCGCTCCTAGCAGGGGCCTTGCCCAGGCTTGTGGCTCAGGAAATTCCTGTGGAATTAAAGTGAGAACTCCCCCATGTGTTGAGGATTTACTGTGTGCCAGGCCTATCCCTGACACTGTATATGTGCTATGTCATTTACACTCCAGCAGTAATCCTAGGAGGGAGCAATTATTATCCTTATTTTACTGAGAAGAAAGATACTAGAGAAGTTGGAGTTTGCTTTAGGCCCACTTTCAGTGCTGATGGCACCAGAACTGGTTCTAGGGCCTGTGCTTGCATCATGCGGGATGAACTCTTAGGGAGTTGTTGTCTGACAAAGGAAGACTCCTGCTAGGTGTAGGATCCTCTAAGGCCTCCTACTCACGAACTTCTAGTCCAATTCTCATTTTTTTCTATGGGCAAAGAGGAGCCCAGAAAAGAGATAGGAACTTATCAAGAGTCCCTTTTCTCCAATTTTCACTCGCTTTTGGGCAGGCTGGGGTCTGGTATTATTCATCGTTATGTTACTCAGGTTAATCCAGGTCACTATTCAGTAAATACATTTAAATTTTATTGATTTGAAAAACATTGAGAAAGATAGAAAGATTAATGTAACAAACATATGTCTACTGTACTTGCTAATGGAGTAGCATCTTATATCCATGAGGGATACATTTTAAGACTCAGCAAATGCCTAAAACCACAGAAGTACTAAAATATATATATTTTTACACCCCCTTGCTCCCTCTTACCTCTATCTCTAGATCCTCTTCCCATTTGCAAAAGATCTATTCTCATTATTTTCTATTGTTTACCTTTTATTTTACTCTAAATTATTTATACTTGAGTTTGTACTTGAGTTTTTCACCTAAGAGAAGTTGTGTGATAGTTAAGCTTGCATATCTGATTTATTTCACTGAACATTATAGTCTCAAGATCCATGCATCTTTCTGCAAATGACTCAAATTTATCCTTATTTATGGCAGAGTACTAATCCATTGTGTATGACTACATTTTATCCATTCATCTATTGATGGATATACATGCTGCTTCCAAAAGTTAGCTATTGGGGCTGGTGAGATGGCTCAGTGGTCTAAAGCACCTACTTAG